CAGTTTTATAGGAATGTAGCTACCAGCTGTAGCTACCAGTTTTATAGGAATTTCATAACCATAAGGCCACAGTAAAGATTGTTACTTAGTACTAGGGAAGCTGCTAGTATGGTAAAACTGCATTCCACTACCATTAGGTATACTCCTGTCGTCATGCAATCTGAAGGCCATCTATTAATGAAGTAATCTACGGCCTTCGTGAGCTCAGCAGATATAAATCAGCTGATTCTCGCTGATTTTACGGAAAGGGAAGTTGGCAAGGTCGCACCCTGGGTAATTTGGAGTGCCTGAGGTCACCAAGGTCAATGGTGTGCCTGGAACCCGTCTGTCAGTAAGGGTTAGAACTGTTGGGGGGGGGGCGGAGTGTGAACTGAGAAACAAACATAGCGTAACGAATGACAAGGTTACAGTTAAGTACAGAAAAGGAAAGAAAGAAAGAGAGAAAGAAAGAAAGAAAGAAAGAAAGAAAGGAAAGAAAAGAGGAAAAAGATAAGGAAAGACAAAGAAGGGGGAACTGAGAAAGGAATAAAAGAATAAAACAAATGGATGAAAGAGGGAAGGAAAAAAGGAAAGAAAAAGAAGGGGGAACTGCTTAAGACACGCCAAAAATAATCCGACACCTAAACCTCTGCTTGGAGAGTAGTACGGTAAAGCACAAATCCACAAGGCAATATTAAAAGTTAACCGGAAGGCGAGGGAAGACCTCTAGCCTTATCCCCTGGCAAACCACCAAGCTTTTCTCCCAGTTTCCCCGAACCTTCCTAGAACTGCGTCGCTACAGTAACAAAGTCCCGGCTCCGTCCTGGTGTGTTAGGGACAACATGGATTTTCCCTGACCTCCCGCACTCAGACGGGGAATATTTGGCACTAGGGGAATATTGTCTCAGTGTGTGGCGACATGTATGAAGTTGTTATGTGCCTCCCTAAGTAACGTGGTTAGCTGCTGGACCAAAAGGTTTGGAGTTCGAATCCCGGCTGTTGCTGCTCACCCGACATGTACGCTACTGTAGTGTAAAGGGTCGCAGTCCCTATGACGGGACGTTATGTCGTGGTCCACTGTTCATCGTGCTTGTCAAAAAGAGCTCGGGGAATTTCCCCGACAATGAACCTGTAAATGCTGTGAATATTGCCTGCCTTCTTTGTCACGACCAGTGGGAGATTAGCTCTTCAGTGAGCTAAAACTGGATCGAGATCACTTTCCTTTCATTTCCATTTCCTCCCCCAAGCCGGAACCCCGTTACAAGATCGCCCCTTCTAATGTGACTAGGTGGAGACCACATGTAGGGAAGCCACAGACATAAGTACACATGTTGTCACGACTTTTGATATACCCACAGCTGTTTCCTTACATCAAATATTGTTTCTTGTACTGCACCTTGACACGAGTTTCCGTTCCCAGCCGCAACATGCCCCAAAAGTGGAAAAACAAAATGTTCTCACCTCTCTACAAGCAAATTTACGTACAGCTACAAAGTGTGTGTTGAGTTTTAAAACAGATATACCATCGAAGATGAAACGTTCAATTTGGAAAGGATGGCTCTGTTTCTTGGTGTTTGAGAAGTAGTGGATTTAGAAAACTCGCAACATGCTCCAAAAGTAAAGAAAATGTTCGCAACCTCTCAACAGCCTTAAACATCAATCAGCAAATTTACGTACATCTACAAAGTGTCTCTTCTGGTTTAAAACTAATATCATGTAAGATGACATGTTTGATTTCGAAGGGAAAGCGTTGTTCTTGGTTTCTGAGAAGTGGGTTTAGTCAGGAACTGTCATCGTCCCGTAGCTGAATAGCTGCACAAGCGCGCACCAACACAAGTCAGCCCGTCTGCCACCCTGCCCCTGCTCTAATTGGCGCGATGAGTGATTCTAACCCCGGGAGGAGGCAATGCCAGAACCTGCAGCGTCGTGTTTGCGCTGAAGTCGCTCGGGTCAAACGAAATGAGCGGTGTTATCGTGATAGAAAAGTTTGGACTCAAATAACTATTCAGAGTTGAAGATTGCTGTGGTGAACTCGTGAATCATTTCATACTACATATTCATCAATGTCAAGTGTTCTAAAGGTTATACTGACGAAACTTGTGATGCTCTATTGTCAATGCTGCCAAGTTTATTTTTCTCGATAAATGAATTGAAATGCCCTAGCTAGCAGCTACCGGAAGAGATGCTTTTTCACGTTTTAAGAATAGAAGTACCTTAGATTCACGCTATTTATTATGATACCTTTCCTGTATCTTTACAATTATAGTAGAAGCATCTTCTGCTCTTCGCTGTTTGTAATGATCTACATGTACGAGTATATGTTTGTTGGAACAACACATGAATCCACCGTTTGTACCCATATCAGACAACAGTTATCTGAATGCAAGGCTTAAGCAATCTGTTTGTTATTTGCAGAGTAAATAGATTACCCGTGTCTTGTAGCTGTAACTGAATTATCTTCCACTAATTGACATAAATGAAGACGCAAGTAGATCTAGTGTTGTTTGAGAGGACAAAATTCAATCTGGTAAGCGTGTCCAAAGAGGAGTAATTTGGGGCAATGAAGATGTTTTCTCCCACGCTATCTAGATCTGTTTTGGGAGGAAATCAATTAGCTTTCTAAAGGTTGTGAGAGAAGTCATTAGTAGGGGACAGACGCGCTTGTGTGTGATCTATTTGGAGCGGGACGCGTGGCAGCTACTACTAAGGTTCAGAAGACTTTGGCAACAAGATGTTAGAATTGATAAGGGACAGGGTGGAATGGGACAGATCGCCTGATAGGTACGACTTAACTGTGGAAGGAAACACGCCGGCTGAAATTGGATTTAACGATTGGGAAGCATTTTAGAGGTTGGAAATCGTCCTTTATGGCGCTGGAAGTACGTGTGGGAAATGACAGTAAATCTGAGGTAATGTCGTCAGAGGAAACTGTTGATAGTATCCGTAAAGATCTGAATCTATGATTTTTTCCCCACAAGTTAGTACCTCTGTAGCCTGGGTGCCATCCGATTTAAATCGGATTGCACCCAGGCTAGTAGAGAGATTTGGTACTCTTGCAGTGTAGACCAACTAAGAGCCGTGGTAACAGTTATGCAATCTGCTCAATGTGTGGCTGTTGTACCACCCATACTAGCTTGCACAAGCTTATCTGGGGTCAGGATAGTATCTGGATAAAGACATTTGCTCGCACACACTCACCTTCCCGAATATGTCCTAACCCGACCACCCAGGCCTACATGCCGATAGGGGAGTGTTGAGTAACACTACCGGGACCTCACAACTCCGGTCTTAGGTTAACAAGCAAAATATCCAACGGTTAATGTTCCCTATTATCACGATAACCTGTAAGATTCAATTTTCAAAAACATAGAAGTCTATCCTCTTATAGCTCCCCTCCCTCTAGCTCTAACATGGGCTGCGTTTTGTTTCTAGTAGTTATTTGATGTATAACGGGTTTACCGGCCTGATCGAGCAGAATGAGCCAGGTTTTTCAGCACAGCGAGGAAGCAATAAACTACTTAGTTAAACATTAACGGTAGATTAGACAGCCTACATAAACCTTAGACGTTATAGATCAACTTAAGTCCTTTGTAATGACAAAAGTCCTCCGCCACACAACTTTCAACCCTACTTAAGTAGACATACCCATACTTTAGAGCCAACCCTCTGGATATTTAAAATGTGACCCCCGAGTGAATTTTGGATGGATGTATTTTTCTGGCTTGGGCAATCATAACGTTAGTATGGGAGACATATTGTATAGTCTTAAAGGATTCCTGACATCAATAGCTCTATTTCTTACGCTTCTTTACTTAATGGCTACACCTTGTGCGTTAATGGATCCCTAGAGTCAAAGACAAGAAATGGCAACAAATCGTTGGTCTTCTTGGAATAGTCTGACGTTATATGTAATGCTTAAAGAACAAAACTCAAGTCGACAGCCCTTGTACTTTTTTCTCTCCCTCAATATTACATCTTGTATACCGTTCTAAATTAATAACTATTATCAGTACTCCTGTTATATGACTTTTGTCTATTTTTACCCAACCTTAAGCTTCCAGCCTGATTCTTTGCCGTCTGCGATCTATCTCCAGTGTTCGGCGTCACCTACGTCACGGTGACGTCAATGGCGCGAAGCTGGCAGGCTACGCGAACCGTGAAATTACGGCTTTACATCGATAATACTTCTGACATGCTTGCAACATTGTGCAACTTTCTTCGTAGCTGACTGACTGTTATTAAAATCAGTAGCTTCTGACGTTCTAAGCTATACCAAACGCTTTGGAAGTTAATTTTTCCGTATGAAATATTCAAGGTCTTTTTTTTTCATAGATGTTTTTTTCGGGAAAAAGATTGTCATTTCAATCAAGCACTTTGTTCATTACCTAGAAGACTGATGGTCGGAAAATTGAAACATTACCATTATCTGCCCCCTCTGTGAAGCGTGGCTAAGATTTCTATCTGGAGTTAAAAGCCTTCCAGGCGAGTAAGTGCTGCATTCTACCCCTTTATATGGCAGCAGCATTGATGGTCCACAATGTGTTACGACAAGATAATGATGAGCAACAAGAACAACATCGTTCTGTGCCACTCTCGATTTGGTCTGCATGATGTTGTGTAGAGTTTGGACAGCTATTACATGGTTGCACCTCGATATTTTTATTCTTTTTTGCCATGTTTTTGTGCAAGGATGTTACTGTGACGGTTTTACCCTGTATTTTGTTTTATTTCTAGGATGTGGCTCTAAAAGTTTAACCCGTGTATATTTGTTTGTGCTAGGATATGACTCTAACGGTTTTACCCGTGTATTTTGTGCTAGGATGTTGCTCCAACGTACGGTTTTACCCGTATATTACGTACTAGGATATGACTCTAACGGTTTTACCCGTGTATTTTGTGCTAGGATGTGACTCCAACGACTTTACCCGTATATTACGTACCAGGATGTGACTCTAACTGTTTTACCCGTGTGTTTTGTGCTAGGATGTGACTCTAACAGTTTTACTTTGTGTTTTCTGCAGTGCTACGTCTGAAGCTGACGTGAAACCACCCATGAACCAGAGAAGACTCGTGGCGCTACGGAGGGACCCGATCATTGGATATGGCTTTCAACTACAGGTGGGCTAAATTATTACAATAAATAATGTGTTACTGATATCGATATATCATGCCAACATTATTGCATATTAGAGACTTGTCCAAACGTTGCATTTGGTCAATGAGATTTGCGTCACCTATTGAGGGGCTAAAATCGACCGAATCATAGGTTTTCGCGGTAAATTTTAAATAATAACAGTAAATTGAAAGATGAGATACGTCGATGAAGGGTTGGTTAGTCATAAAGGGAATGAGATGTAAAAGGAAATTGTTACTCAAGGAACTGGGTATGTTTGAAAACTGTTGGATGTTTCAAGTAGCATCCACTACTTTTCGTCAGAGACTGAAAGATGAGTTGAACAAAAATTAACAGTTATGTTCATTGCGAATCTAGGGGCTTAAAATTTACGAAGAAATGAGAATATCTATTTGTTTAAATTCTCTTGAGATGAAGTGGAAGACATTTCCCAGACATGTAAACTACGGTATGATTAGGCCAGTTGATGTAAAACATGGTGTCGACAAATGTTCACCACATTTTGAGGAAGCAAACCACCAACGTAGTCCGCGCATCTGACACAGATCAAAAATCTGGGGAATCCAAGATGGCGTCCCGTCCTTGTCACGCCACTGTCTGCGGTCGGCGTTCTGACATCGCTTCCTGGCACGACTTCTCCCGAGTTAAACATGAAATTTGCCACCTGCCACTGAAATATGCTATGATTTGCCACTGAGTTAAAGAAATCCAGTGCAGTTTTTAGGGCCTCAAAACCTGATTTTTCAAAGTCAATATCCTAGTCACTTATATCTACATGCTAAGTTGAAACAACACTGTCCCAATGTATGTCGACATTCATGTAGCAAACATGCCCCAAAGTTTGACGAAAAACGGTTATTGGAAGGACCTGGATTGATTTTTAGGGTACCACCCAGAAAACAAAGGACTAATCTTGGGGCTTGTTTCTGCAGTTTAATGCTAATGTGGGACATTATGTGTCAATATCATACAGATTGCCTTATTCAGAACATTTCGAGTTTCGATGCCCTGAAATTGCATTGGATGCCTTTAAACATGAAATTTTCCACCTGCCACTAAAAATCAGCTATGAGTGGGCCGTGCGCGATGTTATGTCCACAACATACTTGGAGTTCCACGACCACCCCCGAATTCTTGTGGTCAACTACTAATGGTAGATTCCGGGCGGTGACGAGGGCACTTGTGTGAGAAATAGCCCGTGAATGTCACAACCTCGTGCCAAGACCTCGCGAAACACGTGGTAGACAGGTACTCTGGGAGGCGCCTGATAATATTTGCCGACACTTCACGAAGAAGGGCGATATTTGCTGGCATTTCGCGAAGTAGGTCGCCTTTAACGACTGATACATTTGACTTTCATCATCTTATTTTATGCATAGTATTTTTTTTGCCAAAAAATCGCAGCATAATCTTTTATAACCCCCTTGATGCATTTCGCAAGCTGTGACAGCATCACAAACATAACTTGTCCCGAAAACATTCTAAATAGCACAATACAACGCAACCATAAAACTGTTATACTGAGAACTTTAACATTGGTAGTGCTATAGCAGTATCTCCAAGCAGATGGTGGCCAGTTTGACACTGTCTTTGAAGCCACCAAAAAGATCTTCTTGTAGAATAGTGCCATAGGCCCAAACTATAGCAAAACTGCAGACAATGGTGAAAATTACATGTTTCTGGTTGACATGACATATGTGTCGAATACTAGTATCTTGTGTATTCATACCAGCAACTTGAGCCCAAGCTGTATGTGTATCGTCTGCATATCCAGTGTTAAAAAAATGCTGATCACATCTGATATTGACCTGATGCGCAGTGCTGATTGAATTGCACTTCCGCTACGGAACATTCAGGGAGTTTGAAAATTAAGTCACCGGTAAAGAAAAAACAAAAATCAATATTCCCAAAATAGACAATTCTGCAGAATAAGCTAATAACATTCACTTACAGAGAAGTGCTTTTAGTAGTTCATCTGAATGTGCATTCCTACCAATACTAGGCGTGTACAGAATAAAATATAGGCAAACTTTTCCATAGGATTCATGTAGGAAAGTACAATACATTTCATTGCCATTCGTAAGCGTGCCTCTCAACCCAAACAGACCGTCGAAACACTTGTAGATGATTTGATCATTCATAGTTGATCATTCCAGTGCCAAATTGAATATTCCGTACCATGAAAGTACAGCATCAAATGGAAATATATTGCCCGTATAGAAACCATGACATATACCAGTTGAACATCTTCCAGAAAAAAATCCCTACGCCACAGGTCAGGACTTACCAAACTTTGCACATTCGATCTTTCCAGTGCCAAATTGAATATTCCCTACCCTTAAAGTACAGCATGAAATGAAAATATATTGCCCGTATAGAAACCGTTACATATACCAGTTGAACATCTTCCAGAAAAAAATCTCTACGCCACAGGTCAGAATCTTCTTGTAGATTATGACTTACCAAACTTTGCACATTCGATCTTTCCAGCGCCAAATTGAATATTCTCTACCCTTAAAGTGCAGCATCAAATAAAAATATATTGCCCGTATAGAAACCGTGACATATACCAGTTGAACATCTTCCAGAAAAAAATCCCTAAGCCACGGGTCAGGGTATGCAACCTGACTCCACGCCTACATGTCTGTAGCTAAATTGTCTACCTTCTAAAATTCATCGCAGACACCGTCAGTAGAATATGCATGAACGGGGGCCTTGTATGCCCTTTTTCGTAAGGCGTAATCAGGCCTTTTTAGTCTTCTTCGCAATACGTAGGCAGCCTCTCCAAAAATCAACGTAATTCGTAATAGTACATCAGCCGCAAAGCGTAAAGTTGTAGTCAGCTCTGAGACTTTAACGTAATTCGTAATCGGCGGTAAAAATGTTGCGTAATTCGTAATCCCCCCCACCCCCATGCAGGCCCTCATGAACCTTTGCCGAGGTTGGATTCTTGGAGAGCTTCTGTCAAATTCAGAGAAGCCTTTCCAATTATTTTAGCTGAAATCCTACGCAGAGCCTGCGAGATTTCATTACAATAACATATGGTACAAATCTAATTACGCGCGCAAGTAATACCATCATAAAGATATGGGGATTTCTCTCTCTAACATAAAACATGTTCTGTTGGTTATGTATAAGCTGAGCGATAAATTCTGTAGCCAGATTGTCTGGAACTTTAACTTAACTGTCAAGCTTTGGGTCAGGGATTATCGTTGTAATAGTATCATTTCTTAATGGGATGTACAAAAATTGAACATAGATTAAGATCCAATGTCGCTATGCCTTCTAAAGAAATACCTACAAACTGATAATAGGAAAGAACACATAACATGTTAGTGTTTTTTGGCGACGCCTCAGAGGCGGAGACGTTTCGTATCTAACCTTGACGTTTCTATTTTCCCATTCTACAGTCCTTCAGTTTCCATACGGAATGTGGAAGTCTGCAGTACGCTACTTACGTCAACAAGGTCATTCCGGACGGGCCAGGGCACGTGGGAGGGCTTCAACCTGGTATGTAACAAACATACACAAAAATCAAACGCATAACTTTCAAAAACAAGTAGCAGATAACAACATATTAAGCAAACAATTTGCAACTTTTATTGCTGTATTATAATATACATTCAATCCTGATTATTTCTACCAGTAATCTACTAGTACCATAAACTCTTCCACTAGTACCATAGATGAAAAGGAGTTGTTAATAGAAGCAAGGAGAGATCATTATTCATTGTATTCTGCCACATTAGTATAGCCCGGTTGTTAGAAAACGTGGCATGTGAGAAGGTCCCAATATTCCCAATCCACCAGGCTAAATGGACAGTAGAAATCGGCCTGAAAAGGAATGTCTAACTCTAACCTTCATTTATCTTTCTTGTTGTAGGTGACGTGATAATGGAGGTAGACAACACGAATGTGGAGCGGGAGGGGGCCAAGTCCATAACGGAGATGATCAGGAGAACCGGCCCGTCGGTCAGGCTCACCGTGGTGTTCATGGACGCCGTGCGCCGCGTCAGGCTGCAGAGGAGGCTGGAGGAACTCAAGGTGAGACTAGCATCTGTATCTGTATCTGTAACTCACCAGCATGGCCTAAAAGCGCCGCCGTGCGGTCAAGGATGGCACAACAGCCGTTCTGAGTCTACAGATCTGCTGACTCGTCATCCCATCTCATCTATCACCGAGTCTTATCATTTTACTTTTGGACACTACATGGTTGTCTAATAGCAGTGGAATATACAAGAAAACAGTTACTCAAGCAACTGGGTGGATACTGACAATCTGACAATTATGAGTAACAGTTTTCTTGTTGTCTAGAAGTGCTGACATTACAATATGTATTGTACGACAGATGTCTCTGTATTGCCAAGGAGGTTACAAGCAGATATATAACCTCCTCAGTCAGTATTACATAGCTGTAGTTCTATAAACAGAGATCCTGAAGTAACCTTCCGCTCTGCTCCGTTTCAGTCTGACCTGTGCACCAAGAAGCTGGAGCTGATGGACCTGGTGGAGAAGGAACGGGAGCTGACGGGTGAGTTGGTTTGAACTTTTGAGTACACGTATTTCAGGAACCAACAAAGGCTCAAACAAACAAAATAAACAAATAATCTGAATCCAACCACCGTAAAGCTATAGGCCCACCAAAGCACGTAGAGAAATGTATTCTCAAGAAATAATAGCAGTGAATTTTTCTCCTCATATTTGCACGTCTATACTAGTATCCATTACCATATTTTCAACATCCATTTATCTATATATACCAAAATACATCCATATTCTTTGCAGACAATGTAACGCAGAAAAATCGGTTTTCTTCCACATTGATGTCTATTAATACTACATTTTACTTGAATGACTAACGTGTGGTTCTATCTTCTGTATTTCATGATCAGGTAAACTCAGTCCAGGGAGCCAACACGGAAGCCCAACGAAAGACCTCAGTCCGGCGAAATCCCCTGCTGGTCAGGGGTTTACGAGAGAAAGCCATGTGGAGAGGTCGCCAAACAGAACACCCAAATCCCCTAGCAGATCCTCTCAGGGTTCGAGCGACCTTTCACCCGACTATGTGGAAATCACGGGCAGCCAGGATGACGTGTTCAGCAGCAGCGGCCATCTTTCATCCGGGGTACCGGGCTCGTCCGCTACCCTGCCTCCATCCGGGAGATCAGCCATGGCAGGGTCGTCCGGGCGGCCTCGCAGAGTGTCGTCTGACCGAGATTCTGTTTACGGGGAAGAACTGAAGCAACTCAAGGCTGTGTTGCAGCATTTCGAGTCGCTCCAGCGGTATAAGGAAGAGAAAATTGCGTCCAACAGTTACGGAGACGCGAAGGAGAATCCGCACAGCGGTACGTGGCCGCGGCAACAGTCGCCCGCCAGTCGACACCGTTTGTCTCACGAGAGAAAGCGAGACCCGTCGCCCAATCACACGGACTCTCCCACGACTACGTCATCCTACGACCGGAGACGTCACCACTCGCGTAGGGGCAGTTTAGAATCGGGAACCAGCGGGGAGAACTCTGTAGTAGCCGTTTCCGCACCAGAGTCTCCGCAAGGCAGACTTTCCCGCCAAAATAGTCTAGAAAAAGAGAAGGAACTGGAAGGACACCTCCACGCATTGAGAAGAAAACACAAGTCCGGCCGCCTCAGTGCCAAGTCCAGCGATGAAGTTTACGTATAATATTAGTTGTACGTAGACTTCATCTTCTTGTAAATAAACAATGTTAGGTCTATAGAAAGGTAAACCCCTCCATTCATCAACGATCAAAAGCCATCAATTGTACAAGGCCCACCGACTCTTCAGGCTATAGTGGAAAATTCGTAGACCCTTCTGTACAAAAAATGTCACTTTAGAATACCGTTGTCGTATTTATACCAGAATTTTGGATATCGATGAAATGTTTGGCTGCCAAGACATGTAATACCTCTACTGTGGACAAAATGCAGACAGAAAAGGCTTCAATGGAACTGGAAACTTGTGCAAGAATAAGGCTTAGCACATGTGCTTTTCTGTTATACTTCCCGTATGAACGATGTTTCAAACCCTGAAACTTCTGTTACTAGTACTTCATTTCATACGAACGAAAGCCTATGTTTCTATATCTAAAACGGTCTGACACAAAAGTAAAACACCATTACAAAAATGAGAAAATAGATAAAAGGAGAACAAGAGGTGGAATTTCCTTTTTTTATTTGGGCGTCACAGTTTGTTCATTTTCCTAGAAAATGTTTAACTTATTCGTCCGACTTGGATCACACGAACAGATAGTTATAACTTTGATTTAAAAACATGAACTAAAACAGTAAAATAAACGGAACAAGATTATTTGGGAGAAGTAAGTGTGCACTTAACAGTAAATCTTGGGTCGTACAAGTCTTGTTTAATAGAGAAATATTAACTTATCTGTGATATTGAACTTTCTCTACGTTCATCATTGAATGTGCCCCCTCCCCCTTGAGAACTTTACATTGCCTTTTCAACGTCATTACATGACCAGAAAAAAATAGTGATTGATGTAAACAATTCAGTTTTCTTCCTTTTGTATGGACTCCTCTCGCTTCCTTGTACATTATTGTTAAAATTATTTGCAAATGTGAACGCTAAACTGATGTATTATATTATATTATTGTTTGTTCGTTCATTGTGTTCGCAGTTGCTTATTTATTATTACTGGATATGAAAAGTGTAATAAAGGCTGGTTCCTTGTGTAAATATATGCTGGTATTGTCGTTTGTGTTTGTTGATTTGCACAGAGATGATATGTTTGCTGATTAGCAGTCATAGATGGCACAGTATTTGAAAGCACTAGCAGTAAGGATCACAACATTTTTGAGTTGTCAAGAAGTCGGCTATAGATAGATACCTAAGGGAAAGGGCCGGTCCCTTAAAAGGACCTTGTCGTCTCTCCCCTACAGTCAATGGTAAAGGCATTTGCTATCATTACCTCCACAGATCTGCTTGGAGATTACAAGGTTAGGTACAAGACCTTTCATGGGAGCGAAAACACACATACACTGCTAACTCTAGAACAGGGTTGGCTTTCTGACCAACTAAGTGCATGACTACGCTGGAAAGTTGAAGTACTTTAGTTACAGTTTAGAGCATATGATTTTGTTTGATCCCATGAGGCTAAAAAGGCACTTGTCCATCACATGGACAACTTTTCGCACAGCTTTTGTATCACATATAGATGAGAATTTTTCACATGAAGTTCACGAACTTGTACAGTACAAAGCCGCCATGTTGGAACCCGCACGTCACGAACCGCTGGTCACGTGACACGTCCATGCATGCCGGGATAGATGGCAGACGACATTGAGACACAGTTCGGCCGGTGGCTGTCTCCAGCACGGTCAAACTACCGTCATGGCTGACCGCCACGACGTGCTTCTCTTCGTGGAGAAATCTCGACGACAAGACAGAACTTTCACTCAGATTGAATGCACAGACTTCGCTGCCGCTGTCTGCGTTCCACGCACGAATCGTACCGCCTGATGTAGAACACAGGACCAGCCCGGACGCGCTGAATTCACACGACGTGATACAGTTCGCTGTCTGTGGTTTCAGATTGAGCAATCTTGCTCCACTTTCCACGTCCCATAGTCCCACAGCACCATCTTTCCCGCCACTGGCAAGCTGAGAGGAGTCTGCGGAGAAACTGAGGCAGGTGATTACGTCACCGTGGCCTTTGCAGACGACTTTTGGCTCCGCGTTGTCGGGAGACCAGAGAATGAGTTTTCCCGCCCTGTCTCCGGAAGCCAGGGTTTGCGAGTCCGGGGAAAAGGCACAACAGGACACCCCGTCGGAATGCCCCTCGAAGATGGCGCTCTCGATGCGTTTCTTGCCTTCTAGGGTTCCCCCAACGTCCCACACGCACAAGGTTGTGTCAGTGCTGCCAGCAGCGATCATACCATTGTCCGGGGAGAGCGCCATGCAAGTGATTCGGAAGTAGGCATGCCCCTTCAGCAAGCGGTGGTTTTCCCGACGCAAGTCCCACACTTGAAGCGAGTTTGTCCCCGCTAGAGCCACAAGCCGGGATCCATCCACAGAAAACACACACCTCGGCGGGCATTTCGATTCCACCTTCTTCATCTCTATCTTGGAGATGTATCTGCCCTTGTTGTAACACAGTCCTCGCTTCAAGTCCCCCTTCTGAGCGTCATAGACTGTCAGCGTGCCGTTTTCCCCGTGCTCACACGTCACAAGTTCTTTAGAATTGGGCGAGAACGCACACGTCACGATCCCGTGCGTTCTGGCGTCTTGGTTGACATTTGATGCACTGTCCTCTTCAGTTAGCTTTACCAGACTCACTCTACCGTCTTCCCCGCACACCCAGGCATACCCGGCGCTTGTAGCACAGCAACTGACGTAGGAACTGTCGGGAACGAAGACTTTGTTGACCCGCAGGGTTTGGGTAGACGTTGCGTACAGCCTCCCGTTTTGGTCTGCTTCGTTGTTCCTCCCGCGGCAAGCAGAAATGACGTAATCATCGGTCAGACGACAGCTACTGACACCGCCATGATGGTTCTCGACACTTCCGAGCTCTTCGAACGATTCCAAGTCCAAGACTCGCACGCTGGTGTCACTTTTGTCTCCCACAACGCACAGGAGGCTATCTCTGGTGAAGATTTGCTTCAGACCTCCGTCGAAGTTGATTTTTCTGAGCTTCTGTCCGGTCTGAGCGTCCCACACGTTGAGGGACTTGTCTCTGCAACCAACCACAACAGTTTCTCCGCTTTGAACGAAACTGCAGCACTGAATCGGGGCCTGGTGGTCGCTGAGTGACATGCAGTTCTTCAGCAACAGTTGGTCGCCACTGGTCTCTTTTTCAAGGTCAAAAAGTTTTACCTTGAAGATGTCGTCGGGAAGATCTGACAAGGAGACACCCGATAGTGAGTAGTCAACATTTAGGAACATTGCGAGCTTGGAACCTGATTCGGTAAAAGCGCAGATGGCGGGAGTTGCCATGGAGTCCGGAAACGCGGGCGGTTCGAACGCGACAAGCTCGCCTTCAGTGTCAAATACGTGAGTGGACGACCCGAAGAAAATATGGCCACCACCAGGGAGGAACGCGCACTGTCGAATTTCCGGACAGTCCGTTTCGAAGAGCCCCACGACTTTCCCGGTGAAGGGGCGAACCACTCGGACTTTGCCCTGCGAATCTCCGCACGCGAAAAGTTTCCCGTCGGGCGAGACGTCGCAATCCAAGATGGCGGCCCCGCGAGTCGCGAATGACGTCACTGCCCCGAGGCATTGTGGTTGTTCGGTGACCTTCTGCAGCCAGGGTCGACCTTCGCGATCAAGGTAGCTGTTGGCAACCTGTCTGTCGCTTCCAAGCCTACTGTAGTTTGCTGATATGGAGACAAAATTGTCTGGATTGTCCACAATTGTATCTGCGTGTCGAAGCAGCAGGTTTCTGAAGCGGTCAACCGTCGCCCTACCCTCGGTGGAAAGGCTCTCGCACCCCGAGGCGGCGGTGTACTCATCCACCATGTCATACACGGACAGCGGGTCTGTCTCTAGTCGGACTCTGATGTGGTGAATGTTGCAGAACAACGTTGTAAAGTCGCTGCCAAACTGCCGCGCCCGGACAGAGTGGTACATGCCGTGACGTATGGCATACCTAGCCGTGGCTCCTGACGTAGGCTTGACGTCATCACCCCTCATCTCCGCCATGATGTTTTGGACGGCTTCTTTGGAAACTCGTGCCAACACCGCATGTCCCTGCTCAGTGTCAACTCGATGTTTACTCTCGGTCGTGGTGAACCATGATTTCATCCCAGGAGCAAGCGAGAGACTTTCACATTTGCATCGAGTCAGCTTCCCTAACTGTGCGAACGCCTGCTTCTGGAATGCTGCATTGACTCTCTCTTCCGTCAGGATGGAGCCAAGAATGTCCTTGTGTACAGGTTCCTTGGCCGCTGCAAGGCACCCTAGCAGAGCAGAGTACAGTTTCTGGCCCAAGAACGTGTATACGCTGTCAACGATTGCCATTTGCACTTTGTTCATTCCTGTCGGTAGCTTGTTGAGGGTTTTGTTGGTGAGACTGTCTTGGTCCACCAAGAAGTTGACGAGATGGAAGTACCCCAACTTGCCCTCCGACTTCTCTAGAAGAATTTCCGTCACTTGCTGCACATTGGGTGCTGACATGGTTTGACCGAGAACGTCCGTTAGGAAAAGACGAACGTCCTCCTGGTTTCGGGCATCTTCGTTGCTGAGTCGTAGCATGTCGGACCTGACTCGTGAGTCTTCGTGATTTAGTCGAGACTGTTCGGGCTCGAACTCTGATTGCCTGAAGTACCTCTTTACTGGAGATACTGGAGAGGTGGATTCACCACACGTAATGAGGATTGCCAGCCAACTTGGTAGGTGCCGTAGCTGGCTGATCATTACCCTGATCTCTTCCCCGTCTGGTGAGTCGATCAACTGGTCAAAGCCATCCAGTACCAACAACATCCGCTTGGGGGCGCTAGGCCTGCGTACGCAACTCAGCGGCCTGTGTATCAGCCGGTGGTACATCTCAACTGCAGACAAGTGGCGCAAGTCTTCACGTAGCTCGTCGTCTTGTTCGAGCACGCGACAGTACCCGGGGACACTGTGCGACAGCTGGCTGGCCAAGTTCACAACAAAGGTCTTTGGTTCTTGGATTGAGGGGTTCTCCGGGAAATAGCAAGCTGCGAGACTGCCATCTTTGGCGAATCTGTTGCAAATGGAGGCAGCTGCGCACGACTTTCCCATCCCGGAGGAGCCCGAGAGCAGGAAAGACCTGGAGCTGGTCTTCTCATCATGGCACCAGTGGCTGACTTCGTCGTGCAACCATTGCCTTGTCTCTGGGTGAAAGTTTCTCAAGTTTCTTTCCACGATTCCTCTCAACCGCCCCATCCTGATCCTCTCGCCAACAAGGCTGAGACTCGAGTCCTCATCCGGGGGGCACAAAATGGCCGACAACTCTTCGCTGAGTTGCTCACCTTCGAAGGTGAACACCAACGACTCTGAGATGTCCTCAGAAATGACATCCATCGTGTCATTCTTTGCATCATCCTCACCCCCTGTGATTGGCTCGTGAATCTCAGCTCTCGTTTCTTCGTTCGCATGTCTGTCTCTGTCCAGCGCGACGTTCTTGAGATTCTCATTAATGTCCTCTACCGCTTTCCTCACATCACTCCTTCTCTCTCTCAAAGTCACTCCTTCAAAGAGCTGGTTGAGCTCTGCCTCTAACGTGTCAAACTTTTCCTTGTCCCTCTTCGAATTGAACAGCCTCGCTATCCTGCCTCTCTTGTTCACCTTTCTCACGTGCCTTTCCGATTGTTGTAGCTTCGCTTCCAACTGGTCGAAGAAGTCGCTCCGTGATGCACGAAGAAGACCCTCCGAGGAGACGACCTCGATAGCGTGGACGGTCTCGATGAACTTTCTCGTCCGTTTGGACACACGCTTCCCGTGCCTGACGGTGTGGTAGATGCTCCCCACCGCCTGGCAGACGGGTACTGCAGCAGTGACGTCCTTCCGGTCCTGGGCGGAAACGAACCTGACGTCACCGTCCAGAAGCCTTTGCGTGGTCGCCAGGAGGGAGGTCTCGCTTTGCCTCACGGGAACGTTCCGAACGCAACCAGCGAGATGTTGGATCTGGTGGAAAACAGAAATTGAAATTTACGATTATTTACTAGTTTAATTTTGTATCTGTTAACTGTACCTAGTGTTTCAAAGAATGTACATTGAAGGTTGTCCTTCGATAAACAAATAAACAAACAAACAAACAAACAAGCAATATCTAACTTACCATCGTCTGTGTGTCCGGGACAGGGGTTGCCCACGCACCGCACCTCGTCCTCCCATGGTGCTTTGTGCCGGGTGGACTTATTTGGACGGGCACACGCACCTGCAAAGTCAAACCATAATCTTTTATCAGATGACGTTGAATCATGTTTATGTAGGTACATTTTCAACAGATAAAAAATTTTTAGTAGATACAATGTCACAAATAACAGGGCATGTGCAGATAGTGGCTGTGACGTACACAATATTAGCAAACTTTACACGAAAAAACAGTTACGCAAGTAAATGGATAGACTGTGAAAATCTATCCAGTTGCTTGTTTAACTGTTTTCTTTTGTATCACCTGAATGTCTAACTTTTCGTCACGTATTCAGCTAACTTTGTATGTAAAGTTTCGTTGTCTATTGCTTTGTCCTTAGAATAATAATAGAGTTGGGGCTTACTTAGGAGATAAAACAGTATACATTTGTTGGTGTCAGGGAATTATCAGTCCTATAGCTGCACGGATACAGCTGTGTTTGTGCCTTGGAATATCCGTGACGTCATCAGATTCCAATGTTCTGAGCAGCAAAAACAACAGATGGACGTTTCTGGCGTTATCTAGTGCACCTGTCAATGTAAAGCTCAGAGGGACTTGGGGGGAACGATCTATGACATTTCCAAACCACAGTACAGGGATCACATATTAATGTTTTCAACAGACCAATATAGATCTACTAGTATAAGTAGTTTTCAAAAGTTTTCATCACTAGGGTCGATAACGTTACATTGACAAACTTTGAAATACAGATCATCACATACAGGGCGACTGGCAAAGAATGACGTTGACCCGAGTTTTACCGAATGTTATGCTGTATCTAATTTCCCAACGTTTATTTGTTTTACCAGAAGAAATACACATTGGTAGAAAAAGCGGTTTCCGAGTAGTCGTGGGGTGTGCGAGGGGCCCACAAAACACACAAATACTTCTTGACAAAAGAAGCGAGTCGTAAAAGACGTATGTTTTTCTAAAAACAATTCGATACTTAGCTTAGCATCTTGGGACCCAAGACATCGAGATATTACTCTCACTATGGCCTCCTTCAGTCAATATTGACCATTGTAAAATCCTAACTGATATCAGCCCTACAGGTTCAGCTATGGCTGAACAGTCCTATATGGGAGAATGACACACAAGGTAATCTTCAACAGTCCAAGTAGATCTTTTGGTGGCAAAATGTCTGGCAAATGGATTCTGCCTGGCCAGCCACCAAACGAACTTGGTAACCATGCAAATACTAGAAGATGAAAAGTAAAGACTCTTTGTAAACAGCTATTGTAAGCCTTTCCACAACAGAGACTACAAATGTATTATGCACGGTCCAATGACATTATACGATGTCCAGACTAATCAATCGGAAGATATCCAATAGTCTAGTCTAGCCACTGCCTACGCGAGCATCATGCCAACACAGAGATAAGACCAGCTACTGCCTGCCAACATACTGATAAGCTTCAACATTCACTGCATACATAGCGTCCTACCGTCCTTATACAGGAAGACCATCTGCTGCGGACACTCGAGTGTTTTGATCTGATACGTTTTTGGACCGGGGAAGCCCTTGTCGTTGCCATGGTAACGGTCGAACCACAGGAAAAAACCTTGGGGGTCAAACCTCGTGACCTCTAGGGTGATCGTTGATGTCTGTATTCATGACCATTCACTTACAATATCAAACACAGGGCTTTTGTGTTGCATTGGGTAAGATTGAAAAATGGAATTGTCAGCGAATCAGTCAAACGTATCAGTGAATCTTAATTAAATGTTTCTATGCGATGTGTATCGTATATCATTATTAGAACACGATTGACACTATTTCTAAGATTCTTCCATTTCACGCTTGTTTGACTCGTTGCTGCCGAGATACATTACTTATGAGGCTCTGATTGGGGGTTGACAGAATCTTCTGCCCTCTATGTTGGGCATAAAAAATGCGTTCACCGCTAGTTTATATAGTGGTGTTACATAAAGACTATCATTTGGACCACTCTAAGTATACACTGGGATAGGACAACCGTAAGTTTTGAGTTCAAATCTACCGGTCTTTCGACAGTAGCGTAAAATGTACACATAAACCAAAGACGTGTTCTAAGCATGTAAGAGAATAGCGAGTTCGTGAGGTCTCGGAGAAAACCAATCTATCTTTACACAGAAGTGGGTGAAAAATGCACGAAATTTTTACCTAAAAAATCGCGCCAGCATTTCAAAATGGTCGTAAACACCCACACACAAAAGTTATTTTTTCCTGTCTGTGACCTCTTCCTGACCCACCAACAGCTGACAGCCTTACCGTTGGACCGAACGTTATTTGTGAACCCATCAACAGAACGTTTGGACTATTGACACCAGGCAGATCACAGAGAAGGGCCGCACATGACTCATGTACTATAACTGTAGCTAACTGGTGTTGGCTTACAAGGCGTGTCTGATGTTTGCCCCGTCAGTCACTAGAATAATTTATGTCTGCTTATTAAAATATTTTTGTCGCAAAGGAAGCTCATAAGTTGGCAAATGTATCCAAAGTACGGACCACCCATTGAGCAAATTCCGTGTTAAACATTAGCATGTAGCTCACGAACTTGAAATAAAACATTCATTTTACAACTTAATACTGTTTACATACAGATTCAGTAATATTAATAATTGGAACACATCTGGCCAGGGGCAACAATTAGAAAAAATAACGACATCATTTCCGAGCGAATATGAGGAGAGAATTTTCTTATAGCATATATTGCACTTGAACAATGTGTAAAGGAAAAAAAAATTGTTAAGTTTCATGTTTGCAAAACTAAAATAATCCACGATCTTTCTATAGTATATCCCCTAAAAAGTTGTCAACATTTAGACTGGGTATCAGACTGTTCCAAGGACCTACCTACGCTAGGTCCTCGGCTCCAGGGCCAACATGCTGCCATGTCCCAAGAAAATTATATCACAGCTCCCCTCAGTTTGGCTCTTGGCCTAGCGTGCTATGGTCCAGGCTCTCAACCCTTGTCCCAACCCCAGAACCCAAAGCAAACTGACAACTTCTGACCACAGCCATACTTTCTATATGGCAGGCATCAGCTAATATCAAGCCTCTCGCACTAACTGTCTCGCACAGTCTGCATCTATCATTCTATGGAGATAAAAATCAACTTGGCGTTACGTGTGGAAACACTGACCTTGGAGACCCGGCAGTATTTCTGTGCGGTCGGCGGCCGCGATGTTCTAACCTCCCTCCTACCTCTCCTCGCTACAAGTTCTCCCACACTGGCGGCCTAAAAATACCGCTATCTCTTCTATACATCTGACCTCCTTCTTAGAATTCTTGGGACTACATCGGAATTGTTGCTACCGTAGAACAATTAATATTTCTTCCAAAAATAAAGGACGTTGCAGTTGTTACCGTAAATATTTAAATCTTATCCGGAAGTAGTTAAGCAGATTGAAAATGACAATATAGAACTTAAAAAGTAGAAAAAAATTCACTGAAAATTTTAATATAGTTTGATATTTTAAAGTTTAAAAAAAACAATGGAAGTACGGTAGCTCGTCAGTTTTATCGTCTGCAGATTTTCCCGCCCCTGAGCCGTCTGACGGAAACCCCCGAAAATATGGCCGGAACCTTGGAAGAACTCCAAAATATTTATCGTCAGAAATACTTGCTGCCCTCTCAAGCGGCTCTCAGATGGTTCTTGTCTCAGATCAAAACATTCCTGTAGTTGATAACTCGGGAGGACGCCATTAGCACTTGTTCTGTTCAATTTTGCAGGCGGGGGTTAGGTCACGGGCCTGGGATGGCTGGCACTGTTGGTGGGTAATGTGTCTAATATTGTCACCCTGGCAGGAGAAGCCAACATTCAAATGTACAAAACCTTTTCCAAGTACATAGAAACACCTTTCCGTAAGACAATATGGCAAAACCATGGAGGTAGAAAAAGAGATAATATGGCAAAACCAAGTGAACACGATAGCAAGAACTTTGCCCATTGCAACCCAGGACATAGAGATCACATCTAGCGAGATAATAGACTTTAAACAAGGACAACAACAACATATGGGCAGAGTCTGTCACACCACCTGGTCGTTATCGCCTAAGGACATGTTGCCAAGTTCACTTGAGAGTGTCTGGCCAAACTTTTGAGAAGTGACATGTGCAACCACTTAACCCTTGACAGAGAGAGCATGAGAAATGGAGGACTAAAGAGACAGAAAAGAACATAGACACGGCCAGGAAATGAAGAAATATTGAATGAATGAATGAATGAATGAATGAATGAAGACATTTATTGTATATCAATATCCACTGGGTTAGTATATAGGTCACAACAAATGAATAGTTTGTATATGTATATGTACATACATTTTGTGTGCATGTATATATACACATACAAAAACAGGAAGCACTTTAGACACAAAAACAATTTAACATCCAAACATCTGCTTGGATACTGCAGACACGGGTGTTGACGAACAGTGTCGCCGACGATTTCTCATTTTACAACACAAATAACAATTCTGCCCGTCATCACCATATGAACGCGACAGGCGGAATGATTTTGAGCCATGGCTCGTGAGTGACACGGAACTGGCCCCCCACAAAGGCAGACCCCATTATACCGATAAGATAACGGTGATAAATGACCCCTGGTGCGAATGGGGACTACCTGTCTTGTGTGAGAAAACGCACGGAGTCACATTGCACAATAAACTACTGGTATTCAAAATACGTGACCTGACCCGGACCATGCAGGTCAAAATTTCGGACGCACAATTTTGGACCATTTACGTCATTTCCAGCAATGAATGGACATCAAATATTATCCGATATCATTGGTCAAAGTAATAAAATGAACTGACGTATTAGTAGCCTGGATGCTAAATCCATAGCACGTATCCAATGTTATGTATTAGAGTAGTCTCAGAGCCCATGTTTTAGATTCGAAGTCCATACGTACGTTGCTGCTATCAAATACTACTACTTTTGTATTTTGTATTTGATGTACGATAAAGGCTACTGTCATCATTTCTGACCTGTATTGTGCCCATGTGTATAGGTTAATGTTACTAAATCAATC